TTAGGATTAATAATGCTGTATTCTTCAGACAATGCTCTAAAGTCTTAGACTGACAGGATTGTAAATTACTTTGGGCAGAGATGTATCATTACAAGACTTGGGTAAGATTGGCTCCTTCACACATAAGCACTTTTTTGTGACTCGCCCATCCTGCCCTATAAGCAGAACATTATCATAGAATATATCTGGGATAACATAAGCCAGTCTCTCCACTAGATATACTCCTTCAATTACATTTACAAAAAGAGAAGTAACCATAATGAAATGAGTAATGAGAATTACAACGTGCGTTTCAGATAAAATCTTCATTCTTTTCAATTTCCTTGCGTAATATATTATTTTCTCAGTTATGCACGGATAATATTTAGTAACTAGGTTGAGGTGACACAGATGTTTGGCAAGGATGAGCAGAATTTGAGGAGAATTTTGTGAGTATTACTATGAGTTGCTGTTGATCACTAAAACTTAGTCATTTCTTAAAGATTTAATAGCAGCAACTGTGTCTTTCTCTAATGGGAGAAAGTAGGCATGAGCTTTCCATGTAAAAGGGTAATTCTGGTGATGAAAATAATATTCTTGAGCTAAATATATGTTCAATGAATCCCTGGCCCTCAGTGCCTCTATTCCTTGAACTGTTCCTTTGCATCTGACTTTAAATGGTACATATTTAAGGTCTAATAAAAGCAAAATAGTTTCATGGAACTTTTTATCTTCCTGTCTGGTACGTACGGTCAGTTATGGGAAATGACTTTTCTTTAATATTTCAGTAGAAATTCTCAGAAGCTAAATTTGCAGTTCAAAATATGGATCAGAGCTTGAAATACAGGGATAATTTAGGTGTATTTTGTGGAGACCTTTTCTTGGACGTTGCAATAAATAGTAAAGAGTTCATGCCATCTGGTCTTCTAGTATTGCCAACCATTTATTGTACATTGAGACAGTAAAAAGATTTAAATACAATATATAAACCAATGGCTTACAATTCATAAAATGGTATTGGCTATTAACTGAATATATTGATAAACCTTTCTACTTTCTAAATTTTCAAATTGGAACCTGTTACATCAAATTGTATTAACACCATTTCAATTTAAGCTCTTAAATTCCAGTAGAAAATCCATGCAATTCTGTTATATAGATATCAGAAATACTGTGAAAGATAACCTTGATTTTTTTATTACTCAGTATTTCAAAAACAAATATCTGTTTAGCCAAAAATATGTACACCTTTAATTCAAATAAAATTACATGGTGCAAAAATTTAAGGTAGAAGGTCTCAAAAGCAGGCAATCTGCAGTAAGTTAGTTAGTATTAATTAAAGCTAGTTTCAGCATGGTGAGAACTTCCATATATGTTAAAAAAAAAGGTCCACAATGCCGGGCCATAATTTATGTGATATTAGATGTTTTGTATGTGTATTGCATTAAGTCATATCCATTCTCCAATTAAATGAGGAATTACTTGATGTTTGCATCGTTTGATTTTTTTGTTATTACTGGAATATATTTTAATGTTCTTTCTGATAGGATTTGAAAGGATATCAATAATTAGAGAAATAGTACATAAATATTTGGCCAAATAGTCCAATAGTATTCTTTTAAATGGAGATAATAAAAATCCAGAAAAATATCAACACAACAAAGCAGTTAAAAACAGGTATTTTGAAATATTTTGGGGATAAAAGGATTACATATATTGTTTTATTTCATATCATGCAAAAACATATACTCCAGTCCATGATGTAAACTGCAGAAGACTCCCTTCCACAGTGTAGGCCAACACTTAAGTTATTCCAAACCCAAGTATAGGTAGCATTGTTAAAACTGGACAGCAAAACACAGAAATGAATGGAGTCATCATTGTCAAAGAAAACCGGAGTTAAATACATTACAAAATGAAGATGAGAGGCTCTCAAGAAATCAACATGACCGAAGCTCTTGTGTACAATATTTTATGAAAATTGAAAGAAAGACACAAAAAGAAGGCATTGTTACTGAGCAAAATTCTCCAGGCATCACCTATGTTTTCCATATTATTTGTGGAATTGTACCATAGGTCTTGTTGGCCTTCTATACTTCAAAAGGGTAATAATGGTGTTTGTAAAATAGTTTACACTTTAAACAACTCTAAAAACAATTCCCAGGCTTATAATTTTTCAACCTCACTATATTTTGTAAAATGTGTCATGTTCTCAATGTCAGTGTTTCTCAACCACTCATCTGATTAGTTCATCATTATATGAAAGAAATGTTGGAAGACATCTAAACTCTGAGGAAATTGTTAAATTTTATTTGACTAATTCAGGAATAAAATCAAAGATATTATGAAGTCTATTAACAGTTTGCCTCATATTGACCCATTAAAATTGGGGCAGGGAATGAAAATTTTATGTTTTCCAGAAGACCTCTGAATTCTGGGAAATCCTTAATATAAATCCTTAATGCCTAAAAATATAAAAATATAATCAAATATTTACTGAAAAAGAATGATTGATATGAGGAAAAATACCAAGTTTAATGCTATGTCTAAAATAGTTTTTCTTCCAATTTCATAAATATTGCATGTTTTCAACATATTACTAAGCCATAAATTTGTATACTGGGAATAAGTGACCTTAAAACTGCCATATTAAAAATCTGTGGAAGGGACCAATTATAATAAAAGGTCACTGGATGAAATTTCCATTGTAATTATGGTACACAAACTCCATATAGATGTCTTGCACAGGTAAAAACATTCCGCTATCATTTATTATAATATTGAGAGAATTGTTAGATTTTTTTAATGACATAGCTTTAAAATCCTCACAGATATATCTGAGAAGAAGATTTAACCTTCAGTTAACCTTTAAGGTGACAAATTTATTTAAAAGTGCAGTGTATCATATAACTAATTAAATTTACCCTGCAAAAATCTCATTACTGTGTGGCTTTAGTCAAACAAATCCCCCACATAATTTTTAAAAATCATATTTTGATGAGGCAAAATGTCTTTTAGTTAAATGTTCTCTATTTACATATCATACCAACGTTTTTCTTATGTCCAACTCTTCAAACCACATATCAGAATATACATGGAACATACAAAATACAAAGTTCTACCTTATTAATTTATTCAACTTGTATGCCCACCCAACTCACAAATGACTTTGGACAGTTTGCAACCAAATTAAAAACAATATAAACAGGGTATATCAAAGACAAACAAAACAAATTGGTGACTGAAAATGTCAATTAGTAGACAATAACATAAAGCAATATCTTATGTAGAGCAAATTAGGACATCGATCCAATCTAACAGAAGGAGACTAAACCTCTTATTTCAGGGATAACAATAACTAATATGCAAAGTAGTTGTACATATTAACAATAGAAATGTGAAGAATCAAAACCAGATAAATTGGGGGTAGATAAATGAAAAATGAAGAAGTTCAGAAAGAGAAAATTCAAATGAAATGTTTTCTTTTAGAACAGGGAGTGCTAGAATAAATTTAAATATAGCAATCTCTTACTGTCCATCAATGTTTTCTAGTGACATGTAATGAGAATCAAAACATATATAGTTCTTATACACAAAGAATAAATCTGTGCAGAAAGCTGAATAAAGACTCAGATTCATATGTTTGTCAAATGTTTGTCTCAGTCTTATAAGGCTTAGAAACTGCAGAAAATGAGATTGAAAAGATCTTATCACTATTGAGTTAAGATGCTATCTACCTATTCCTCATCTGACCTGAACAGTGCTGATTTAAATCTGCTACTTAAATCTTTTCAAAGTTATTTCTGCTGCATAGAAATGTGACATTCATAATAGCCAAGGAAATCATTATTTTGTTCGTCTAGTAATACCTTTGTCTCTTTCTTCATATCACCAACCAGTAGAGAAACACCTACTAATCTGATACTTCTGCATGGATGAAAAAGGTTTCTTAGAGTTCTTCAATATAAAATTCCATTTGTAACCATTAAAAAAATTAAATGAATTCATTTAGTAAATATATATTCAACTAATTTAAACACAACTAATTTAAATTCTTCACGTGATAATGTATATAGATATTATAACTTATTAACTAGACTCACGTGAAATCGTATACTGGTCCAAGTTCTAAAAGAATCAGAGAATGCAACCACAAACTCCACAAATATTAGTTTGAAATTGATTTTCTAATATTTATTTAGTTATTTATTTTATTTTATTTATTTTTGGCTCATTATTCAAAGTGACATAGAAGGAAATTAAGCACCATCTTCATCTCTTTATTTTTTATTTTTCCCCTTTAAAAAAATAATAATAGAAATTTGTGGTTAGAATAATATCAGAGGAATAGATATTATAGGCTTCCATTTGTTAATTTTGGGAACTCCCTTTAAAAGTTTCTGCTTGTAAGAAAATTATTGTGAGTGATTTATTATGCTGTGATGTTTTATAAGCAAGTGCATAATTATTCTCCCTTATGTGGTTCTCTATCTTTCTCCCCATTTGAAGATAATATTTTCTCTTTGCCAAAAATATTTGTCTGAACAGAACAATAAAAAAGAAGCAAGATAATAATCACACAATTTAGGTCAAAATTATTGACAGGTACAATTTGATGATATAAAGTTCATATTTATAAAATGAAAAATAGAGATCCTTATATCTATTAGCTTTCTTCCTCTGAATATTTTATCAAAAATATTTTTTGTCGCTGAATTTTGTGTGAATTTTGGGAAAGGTGACAATGTTGGCAGTCAAATGAAATATCTATAGCACCACTTTCTCCTGGAAACCAAAAGGGATGTTCTGTTTTTTAGGCCTGAAGAACTAGATCTTAAGGTCTGATCTATGCATAAATCAGAATATAGAGTTTGAGAGACCAAAGCAATTTATCTGCAGACAAAGAGCCAACTTGTTCCTACAGTACTCCCTCCATTGTTATACATTATTACATATGATCTCCCTGTCTCTTTCTCTCAATGCTACATTTTAATTTGGGTATGCATCATGCTTATTTTCAGACATTAACATGGCAGGGGAGCCAAAACCATACAGACCTAAGCTGGGAACTAAGCGACCACTTTCTGCTCTCTACAGGTAAGCTATCCAATTGATTAAAAACCTATGAAGTGTTTTTTGAAGTTTTAGTGAATGTTTCTTGGTAAAATATTCACCTTTGTTGAATAACTGACTATTCGGCTACCCGTTGGCAGAGAAGTCTTGCTGGAAATAAATGGTGTCAACTCTTAGCATTCTTTTTTTTTTTTTTTTAGAACTTGCAGCTTGGTTTCAATCCAAAACCTCTCTTGCCATGCTTCTTTCAGCCTTTTTCAGAACTTCTCTACCTAAATCGTATATACAGGGATACCCACTGGCACCATTCCTTTATCCCCTAAAGATTGACATTTCTGTAAACGAACTAGAATTTGGCTGATTTCAAGCAGTAAAGATATGTTTCACAAATTAAATAATAGCAATAGCATTTAGACTTATATATTGCTTCATAATGCTTTATAGCCCTCTCAAAGCAGTTTACAAAGTCAGCATATTGCCCCCCCAAAATTTTGGTTCTCATTTTACTGATCTTGAAAGAATGGAAGGCTAAGTAAAATCTTGAGCCAATCAAGATCAAACTCCTGCAGTGGACAGAGTTAGTCTGCAATACTGCATTCTAACCACTGTGCACCATGACTCTTATCTAAATCTTCAACTTCTTGCCACCTGAATGAAATCTCTATGTATGATAGGTTTATCACAGTTGCAGCCACATATAGAGTTCCTCAGATGTTTGAGGCAATGCAATTTCAGTTAATTACTCAGCACCCCAAGCATTTTATGAGATAGGTCAATTCTACATAAGTTTGAACTGCCTGATGGGAGTCTGTTATCTATTTTATCCTACTCATGAGTAGGAGTGGCTCAGACATGTTAAGCAAGAAATAGTGACCAGCTGCCAGTAGCTACTTCTTTCATTTCCTAGACTTCATTTTGCACTTTTCATTTTAGAAGAAAGAATATTTGAGAGCTCATATGAATTATTGGGTCTCCAGACAACTGCTTTTAGTACAGGTTAAAGCTCCCAGGATTACTGAGTGTCAGAAACAATTTATTTCAATGCAATTTTATATTTAAAAAGGTTCCATGGTTTAGAACAATATACAAAGAAGACCTCTGCTAACCAATGGGCCTCTGTGGTCAGAAGTATTTCAAAAGAGTCTTCCGAGCAGCTATTCTATTAAACTTTCAGGAATGCATCTGTCAGCTTATAACATAATAAACATCCTAGCATCAGATCATTTTATCAACTCTCACATAACTTTGTATTCTAAGTAACCCCTCCCATCTTTTGTAATAAAATAATAATGAAGGTGCTTGAGCAGATGCTCACCATGTTACCCCAGACACATCTTAATCTGATTTCCAGGTTGGATTTGGCATTGATAATTAGACAAACTAATCCATCCAGTGGAGGGAAAAAATAAAATAAGGTATTTATATAATTCTCCTGATATATTTTTTTTCAATACAGTCTTCTCATATACCCTAAATGCGTGCCAATATAATTATGCTTATTATAGATAGAATTCTTTATTGGCCAAGTGTGATTGTCTTGGTGCAAATACTTGATGCAAATTATATGGTTACAATTATTACTGAAATATCTATTAAATCAGTTATTATTGTTCCAAACTCAAAAGTATGACAGATAATTGCTCGATAAAGATGATCCATTACATAGATAAAGGAGAGGACAACAAAACAGGGAAAGGGACTGTTGGTTAAATTCCAGCTCACCCAGTTTCTGCCCAATTCTTTACTCTGTGCTTTACTCTGTAGCTGCTGCCAGAGCCCTGCAAATTCCAGCCTGAACATGGTTAATTGAAAAAGTCAGAGGTCAGATCTGAATCGAGCCAAACTAAAACAGCAAATGAATGTGTTTTTCTCCTCCAGAAAAGGAGAGGCAAATGTGTTTGAGGTCAGAAGCAACTATAGATCAGGTTCCAAAGGAAATAGCAAAAGAAATCGGAAGCAGGCTCTAGCAATTCATGGTTTAGTGCAGTTTCTCAATCCAATATTAATGCTCATTGGGGAATTCTGGGAGTTGAAGTCCACAAGGCTAAAAGTTGCTGAGGTTGAGAAACGCTGGTCTATATTAAAAAGGAGATGGGTAACAATTGCATGAAAATTATGTAGTATTGATGTTCATGAAGAATTCTGAGAAAATTGAGTTTCTGAGTTACCATGGATACTACATGCATAAATATCATTCTAAGAGCATACACTCTTCCATATACCAGTTTGACTTCAACATTTTTATTTTAGCTTCAAAGCACTGAATTACTAATTTAAAGATCAATTTAAATGAAAGGCCAATAGATAATTGTGTTCCTCCCTTGCTTAACATTTTTTTTAAATAATTTACTGTATCACCACAAATGTCTCGAAACCATTTACACTCAAAGAGGGTCAAACTGAGGCCAGCCATATTTTGAGCAAATTGAATCTCAGTTCATAAGAATGGATTTCAAACTGTTTTTAATTATAGTTTTATCCACAGGCCATCACACATAAATTATCTCTTCTTTTTTTCCCAGGGAAACACATACCCAGCTGCATTTATTAGCAACCTAGTGAAATCTTATCATTTATATTCATTACGTATTTCTAAAAGTGGTGATTTGATTATCTTCTGGAAAAGTTATTTATTTATATTTTGTTTTCCACCAAAGAGTTCAAGATCTCTCCAACCTCTTTGACCCTCACAATAGTCTAAAGAAATAAATTAGAATATTAGACTGTTTCAAAGTATCCTTCAAAATTAACACCAGATCCTGGATTTTCTTGGTCATAGGTAACAAGTCGTCAGAAAAGATTATTTACACCTCTGCTAGCAAGAAGATAAGGCTTAAATTGTCATTCTGTGGAAAAAATGTTGTGTTTCAGAGAAGGGAGGGAGGGAGGGAGGACTTCCAAACTATAGCTGAGATGGCACCATGGACAAATCAGGGTTAGCACAGTGTGTTTTTCGATAAACTGATCTGGGAAGTGACAGATCTAGCAATGGTAATGATTTATCTCTTGTAAGGGAACTAGACATAAGCTGCTCCTTTCAAAATCATGGTTCTGAAATGAGGAAAGGCACACACTCCAGAATGTTAACTTGGATTATTGGGGTACTGGGCCTTTGTGAGACCTTGAATTGAGACCTGGATATTCTAAGATCTTTATCTTGAGTAGCTACAGCATACAATGTAAACCTTGTGCATTGCATTATTTTTTCAGCAAATTTAACTATTTTTGTTATTTTATTTAACAGACTTGAATCAAAAGAACCGTTCCTTTCTGTTGGGTGAGTAAGAACATTTTGGCTTAATTAAAAAAAAAACTGCATCATTATATATTTCAGTAGCTTTCAGCTCAAAAGGAGTAGTGGTAGTATTTCATTTACTTTTGGAGATCTTCATAATGAATAGAAAAATGTAGAGTATTTGGGGCAGAATATCTTTTTCAGAAATTTTCAGTCCTTATGACCAGATGTTTAACAATCCATAAAACATACTTACAGCCATTGTAAAATGTGCACCCCCTCCACAGTCACATGTCTGCATTTTGGACACTTGGCAATTAGCTTGCATTTACATCTGATTGCAGCATTCTATAGTCATGTGACAGCAAATTGCAGTTGCTGCAACTGATTCACTTAATGACCACCATAAACAGAGTCATAAAATTGGGTCCAGTCAGGTACTTTGATTTGTAACCACCATGATTTATGATAAAAATTCCAGTCGTATGTCAAGGAATACCTATATGTATAATCAGTACAATATCATTTCCCATTGCTTACTTGTCTAAAAAATAGTCTTATCAAAGAATCAAGATCCTGATTATTTATCAGTATTGTTATCACAACTTAAATAACATAAATACCAGATGTCTATGGAGATTCTCAGTAGTCCAGGTCATGGTTGTCCCAAAGGTGCTTTTTCAAGAGCCAACTGGATATTCTGATTTTTCTTTGAAGATGTTTTGCTTCTCATTCAAGAAGCTTCTTCAGCTCTGACTGGATGGTAGGGAATGAAAGGATTTATGCACCTTGCAGACAGCTGGCCATTTGCATTCTTTCAAAGAGTTGTTGAGGCTACCTCGAGGTTTATCTGTGTTGTCCTGCATTCTCATTGTTCCTTGGACAGAAGCCCTAAGACATATAAAAGCGCTTTTCTTGCAGATGATCCTCCAAACAACAAACATTTCAAAGGCAATTTTTCAGTTAAAAAGCTGATCAAAATTCACTACAAATAATCCTCCAATTTAGTTTTGTAAAAAGCAGAATGTCAAATCTGATAATGGTATTGGAAGTTTGTAATTACCAGTAGAGGTAGAGTGGGTGGTTTTTAGGCTTTCTTTTTCACATACATTTTAACTTCTTCTGATGTAGATCTCAAAATAACTATGCTTAAGAATGAAAAAAAACAACAGTCAGACAGATAAAAATACACCAACAGATGCAGTGGAAATATGTTAAATTGAAGTGAGCTAACATACAAGTTAAAAACATTTTCCACCACTTCCAATTTTACTCTTTCCTTTCTTTTCCTTAACAAGGTAATTGTCATCAAATGGACACTTTAACTTTTGGAATAAAATGGTTCTAGAAGAATCTGCAACTTTATACCACTTAATTTTGATTATGTAAATCAGCCTTCTCCAAGTTGATATCTTTACCTTTTTGTGGGTAAAAAAATATCCTGTTAAGGATAAAGTATACATAGTCAGGATGAGATTAGTCCATTTTTGTGTATTTGAAAATCAGTGTTGTTGCATTTTTAATGGGTTTCAGCTTTAATCCTATACCACTAAAAGAATTGAATTGTCATTTTAGAGTAGCCTTTTGTAATCATATGCTATCCAGTTGTAATGGATTTAGTTCCCAAAGGCCATACTAGCTAACTAAAATTTATGGCAATTGAACTTCAACACACCTGGAGGACACAAAGTTGGAAGACTGTAACAGGAAAGAATATGACAAATTTTCACAAGAGGATCATGCCTCTATCTTTCTTAAAAAACTCATCTAGTATTGCTGTAAAAGATGCACTAAATTTCAGATTTTAAGACAGAGCTCAGATTCTGTTATTTAGGAGTTTCAGAAAATTCATCGTAAAATATCACATACGCTTCCCCCACCTGAGTGCAAACATAGTATAATTTTTTTCTTTGATCATGTCAACTGGATAATTAATTGAATTGGGAAAACTGTCCAATATATACCATTTGGAAAAACAGTAATATAACTTGTGAAGTTATAGTAGTAATAATGCCATCAATATGAAATAATAATTAGACTATGCCAGCTCTTAGCATCATTGGCCTATTTCTTGGAAAACAGCTGCTACTCTTAAGCATCCTTCATGTAATTTTCTTATACATATGTTTGCTTACTTTTTATATCATTAGGTAGCACCCCTCTAGCTGAGCTGAGATTTAATTTTCCAGCTTGATTGGGAATTCCAGGAACAGCATCTCCAAGTAATTAAACTTTACCAAGGAGCAAAGGCAATAGCAAAAAGCTACTGTTTTCAGAAAAATTCTTGCTTTCCTGTAACATGAAATTCTAAGATCTTAAGCCTCAAAGACCCTCAGGACTTCCCTGCTGGTGGCAAAGCCTTTCTGATATCTACTCATCTCCCATCATGCCTATATTTCCCAAAAATTGAGTCATTAAGACCAATTAGGAGAAGCAAAGAGTGACAAACAAACTGCCAAACTGTATACTTTGCCTCAAGAAGCCCAGGACATGCTGAAAATCCCATTGATGCTCCTGCAATAGCACATTTTAGGCCTATAAAAAATGAAGACAGGGAAAACCTCAAAGACCCAGAGGTCAAGATAATGGCAGTGCAACCTTTGTCTGAAATCTTTGGAAGAAGAAATTGATGTATCTGTTTGGTCTAGAGCAGGGGTCCCTGGTCTATGGACCAGCTCCAGGCTGCACATGCCAGAAACTGGGCCATGCAAACAAGTGAAGTTGCATCCGCAGGATGCAGGTAGCATGCTAAACAATGCCTCCTCCAATCCATGGAAAAAGCTCTCTCCATAGAATGAATCTCTGGTGCCCAAAAGGTTGTGAGCCACTGGTCTAGAGGAAGGAACTTCTGCTCCATCATCAAAATCCTAAATTTCCTATGGGTGGATATTCAGAAGTTATAACCAAGCATCTTTCACAGAGAGGTGCCACCCTCTCCTCAGTCCTAGCCCCAGTGAGAGAAACTTAGCCCAACCTTAGTCAAAAGAGCCAGAACCTAAAGTACAACAGTATGCCAGGCACATACTTTTTATACCAGGAATAAACAGCTTCATAAATTACTGTAGTCAGTGTTGCACATTTCTATTTTCTCTTTCTCTCAGTTGTAACAACTCATGCGTTAGACATCCTTAGGCTTTACTGTGGCTTCAGTTTCAAACATTCTCGTTATTATCTTGATGGGTTTCATTTGATGGCAGTCCATTTTCTCTGAATGCAGAATTTTCCTAAATAGTTTTTATGCCATAGTATGAGAATATTATCTTTTTCCTGCTTGAAATAGAAATGTACAGTTTTGCAAAATTTAGTCTGGGGTAATTGCAGATCTTTGTCATGAGCAAAATAATACAGTGAGCAGTACATTGCATGATTGTAGATGAATTAATAATTTTCATGTCTCTGATCCTCATAGAATCCTTTATGTGAATGTTTAATCAGGTGCAAGAACTAAATAGTGCAAAACAAATGAGACTTTCCTTACGTTTGGAAAGATTCATGTTTCACTTTATCATATGTCCATTCATTACAACTATTAGCTTGTTGCAAATTAAGTGCTATTTATCATTGGCAGCAAAAACAATCAAGATTTATGTAACTTTTAACAAATTTATCGTATATATGTGTGTGTGTGTGTGTGTGTGTGTTTTCTTAAGTTTTCGTGAGTACTTACATGTATGGTATTAAGCTTTGTTCGGGTATTTTCCCACGTCATTATAGTTATGCTTTTAAAGTTGTAGCAACGTTTCGGCAGAATCTCATCTGCCATCAGATGAACACTATACAGAAGCCTGATGATGGCAGATGAGATTCTGCCGAAACGTTGCTACAACTTTAAAAGCATAACTATAATGACGTGGGAAAATACCTGAACAAAGCTGAATACCATACACACACACACACACACACACACACACACACACACACACACACACATATACATATACATACATACATACACACATATATATACATACATATACATACATATATACATAGGTTGACTTATGCAGGACTATATCCAATTAATTTTTGTCCCTAAGAGAGCATTTTTCATTAGAATTATTCATTTCTCTATAATCCTTTTACATGCAGAGTAGGAAATTGGGGACTATTGAAAGCAAATTGAGATGGGACTGGAAATGGCACAGGAAAGAAAGAAAAGAAAAATTCTATATAAAAGGAAGATTGATCACACATTATTGGATTTTATTTGTTGCATTTCTCCCTTCCTCCATTGCAGTTCCATGCCAACTGTCTTCTTCCCATCCAAAAGTTATAAGGGTAGAAATCTACCAACATACAGAGCCTGGGAGTTGCCACTTGGCCCAGTTCAAAGTTGAAAAGCTCAGGAAAGGATCTAGCTAAGTAACAGGAGGTTGCTACAGCAGCAAAATCTTTAACTTGCTTGTATCTCCCAATTCCACATAGAACACCTCACATCCAGCCACCTTTGAAAGAACAGATGTAGACAGCATCTTTTTTTCACAGAATTGTCTATGAATTTTATCCACAGCTAAGAACAATAGTCAAAAGAGTTCAGTAAAATATAAAACAACATTTTCTAAGGTATGAATCTAAAGGCGGTTTTGTGTATTTACTGATAATGGAAAGAAGTTTGTCATCCTAGTGCAACAAAAGAAGTCTGGTCTGCAGTGATACTTGACTGTCCATGCACTAGTCAACCAGGTCAGGAATAGTTAACATTTGGGTGGAAATCCAAGAAATCCAGGAAGACAGAAAACATCCTGGAAGAAGGCAGTGACAAAGTACTTTGGTGCATGGATGTATTTCTGCAGTCTCCAGAAGCTGAGCCCAACCTAAAGGAGACTTTAATGAATATTATTACATCACCTTGCTTTATAGTAATAATAGGAGAAAAGACTCATGTTAGTCAGTTGCTGGCTGAATTGAACTTTTTTTCCCATCCTTGTTTGCCTATGCTTACACTATTTCTCATTTTATGATTTTAAGGTTGTCAGAGTTTAGGACAGGAAAATTAGCTAAAAAGAGGTGACTGCTGTAGATGAGATGGGATAAATACCATTTTCTGGTAGTATGGAAAATAGAAAATATTGTCATATTTGTGAACTTACTGTATGTGCATTTAAGCAAACTTATTCTAAGTAACTTTTTCTGTGTACAAGGAAGCTTCCACTTGAATCTGCATAAAATGAATGTCTTTTTAAAAAGATTATTCTGTGTTTTAAAAAATAGCAATAGTAGGCATTCTTCTACAAGTTTTCTACTTGGCCAAAATTGGTATTGAAGAGAAGAGATAAAAATTCTAATTCCTACCGCATGAGTGAATTAAGGCTGAAACAAACTGTATGGAACATTCAGTAACCAATTTGTTTGAAATTAAATCATAAACATTTGTAGGGCTTTGAGGGTGTAAAGACAAAAGATAAAATCTATGTCATAACACAAACATTGTGACTTGCATACTTGTGTCTGGTGTCAAGTTGTAAGTATATAATTGTGGCATTTGTGTGCTGATGTCACCAGGTACACATCATTTTGGCAACAGTTGCTGTAGAATATACAATATATATACAGGCTGTGAAACCTGTCTACAAATAAAAGGGACAATTCCACATAGCAATAGCCTAAGGAACTCAACATTTTTAAATTAAAAGAATTCAATACAGTAATCATTCCATAAGAAATAAGGAGGTTGCATGTGTCTCTTATTATATACAATAACATAGACTGTAAATTGCATATGAATGTGAATTAGGCAAATAATGCATCATATTATGCCAGTGGAACAGTCTCTATCTATTATGAATCAGAAAAATTTCCATCTTCAGTTTTCAACTTTTTCATCTACTCCTTCCTTATTTTTCTTATTTTCTATTTTCATTACCATGGAAAGAGAGGAGTGAGGATGCGAGTGATCCAACAGGATTTTTCAAAAGAAAAGAAAATGATTCATTTTGAAAGTTCATACTATTAGTTTGTTTTTGTTATTCATGTGTTTACCATTTGGCTTATATATCAAGACCACACAACAAATATTTTTGTTTGATATAAAAGTAAGGGATTATTTGATGCCTAGACATTCATATCGAGAAAAATGACCTGATCTCTGCTCCCCACTATAGCTCGGGTGAATTTCAGAAACATTTTCCTGATATTTGGCAGGCTTTCAAGAACAACTTTTTAAATATGGTAGACGAGGGAGAGAATCGAGGCAAATATTTCTGCATGAGTCACATGTTTTCAGGGAAGTGGGGTTTGATACAACTCAAGCTTAAAATACCCATGCACCTTAACTTCAATTTGATTTTTACAATTCTATTTGAATTTATTATTGGATTCTGTCTAGCAGGGGGTAAAGAAAATAAAATCCAAAAGCTTCCTCTGGCTGGGACACTGTCATGAAACATTAAAAACATTAAAAAAAATAATGATCACATGACCATAACCACAACTTTCTAAAACGTCATTTTCTTGGGAGTCATGGGTCTCAGATTTTGGACATATTTATATATTAGACCATATGAACCATTTTTGGTTTAAAAAATTGTTGTCCTATCATTTCATCTAATTAAAGATTATGCCAACAAGTTTTATTAGTATATAAACAAAATATAGGATATTACTTCTATTTTTATTTTAAAAATTAGCTTCCACCCCTCCCTGCTATTATTTTTTTTAATAATTATCTCAAGGTGGCAAGCATATCTAATTCTCCTTTCTCCTATATTCCCACCTGTGAAGTCAGGTGTGTTGAGAACAAGTGACTGGGCCAAAGTCACCCAGAAAGCTTTCATGCCTGAGATGGGATTAGAACTCATATTCTCCGGGTTTCTAGCCTGGTGCCTTAACTATAAGACCAAACTGAGATATAAATTATTATTGTGATTCATGCCTTACAAATTATTATTAACTAGTATAATTTGCCTCATCTCTTCATGGGATTTTTCTTTGCTCTTCTTGCAGTGGTTATGTCTTTGATTATGATTATTACAGAGATGATTTCTACAGTCGGTATGTGTACCTTTGTTCCTGTCTTTGCATATATGAACTGCATTTTTATTTATTATAAGAGGTTGGGGAAAGGGCATTGGTTTTCTCAGAAAACATCAGGAATTGTGGGAAAATTGAACTGAGTCAATAGGAAAGGCTTTTTAGATAGATCCTTTAGATCAGGGGTGTCAAACTCAAGGCCTGCAGGCCAGATCCAGCCTGTGGGATGCTTAGATCTGGCCCATGGGGCTGCCCTGGAAACAGCAAAGTGGCAGCCTGCAGTGGCTCTGCTAGCGAAAACGAAGCTTGGGATGGCTGCACACAGGTTCCATTTTTTGCTGCATTGGCCTCCTGCAGCCCTCTTGGCCCCCTAAACTCACTGGCAAAGGGCTGCAGGAGGCCATCGTGGCCGAAAATGGGGCCCAGGAGCCCGTTTTCATTGCAGAGCACTCAGACCAGCACAGACACCCCCAACATGAGTGACATCATACTGGCCATGCCCACACAGGCCCCGAGGTCAAACACAACCCTGAAGTGGCCCTCAATGAAATCGAGTTTGACACCCTTGTTTTTAGATGAAAGGATAAGCTTGCTTTAATGCATATGTTGATGTACATTTTTAATAGTCTTAATTACAGTTAAGTTTAAATATTCTTAAATTAAATACTTATAGTTAGTTACTTATATGGAAAACAGTTTTTGTCAGTTTAATAAGCTGTCAGCTGTTGTTGTTTTACCTTTTGGACTAGGTTTTCACTCAGCCAAGTTCTCCTAGCCATGAACAGAACTGCAGAGCTTTGCTGGTAGTTGTGCTGGGAACTCTGCGTGCATATAAATATTAGTACAGAATATTAGTACTATTATAGAAAAAGACAAGCCAGGCTACTTAGATATATTGCAAAATTTTTCAAACACACACTACAAATCAGAAATACAGTATTTCTGTATTGGCATCTCCTGTTGATTTTTCATATATATGTAAATCATTTGGGGGCATGTTTACCGATAAACAATTCTAACTTATCCAAGGAACGTATGCACAGAATTATGCATGTTTATCTAATGACAACCATATATTTGGACTAGGTTTTCACTCAGCCAAGTTCTCCTAGCCATGAACAGAACTGCAGAGCTTTGCTGGTAGTTGTGCTGGGAACTCTGCGTGCATATAAATATTAGTACAGAATATTAGTACTATTATAGAAAAAGACAAGCCAGGCTACTTAGATATATTGCAAAATTTTTCAAACATACACTACAAATCAGAAATACAGTATTTCTATATTGGCATCTCCTGTTGATTTTTCATATATATGTAAATCATTTGGAGGCATGTTTACCGATAAGCAATTCTAACTTGTCCAAGGAACGTATGCACAGAATTATGCATGTTTATCTAATGACAACCATATATTTAAAACGAATATGATTTGTAGTTGATTGTACAATATAAGTGCACAGAATATTTTTTATTCCCATAAACAGTTAAAATTTGGTTAGAAGTTAATGGGATTGTATCAAGGAAAGACGTTTATCATTCTCCAAAATACTTGAAGTTCTTATTATTCTCTTTGTGAGTTAGACATACTTCTGTTAATTTGTGAATATGTTTCAGCTTAGCTATATCCTCTTTATATGTAGAGATATTATGGAAGGCCATGATGTCTGAGAGTACTGGGAATTGTAGTCTAAATATATCTGCAAGGGAAAGTAGAGTTTAATACTTTCATAATTAGTTGGCTGAAATAAAATTATGTAGATAAAATGTTCACTTATGGTAAAGTCAGTTTAGTAATGATGTTCTTCATTACTAAAACAGCAACATATTGACTGTAATGAAATATAAATATGCTTATTGATGAACTCTTGAAATCTAATTTAACTAACCCTTTTGAGATTTTGGAGGTCAGAATCCTAATAAGAAAGAGCAGAATTTAGTATGCAAAATCTAACATAAAATTACAATTGAACATTATGAAGCCTCTGTTTCTATTTCTCTTAAGGTTATTTGATTACCACAGCCGGGTTCCTGCCCCACCTCGTGCTGTGATTCCGTTGAAACGCCCACGAGTAACAGTCACAGCAACTCGCAGAGGAAAAGGAGTCTTCTCCATGAAAGGGACATCAAGGTCTATATCAAGTGGAGCTTCTTCATCAGGATCAAAATGTGAGTTCAAACCTACATTGTGAACTAACTTGTTTAGTTTTAAAAATAACCAAGGCTAATTAGATGTGTAGGTGACTATCCTCCTCCCAAAAATGTTTATTTTATTAGCAGTGTATTCTTTACTTAATAGAAGATGTGTTCTTCCTAAAAGAAATAATATTATACCATTTTATTATTGTCATTCTATTCTTTTTTCATTTTCAGTGAAATCAGATGAATTGCAGACAATCAAGAAGGAATTAACGCAGATCAAAACAAAAATTGATTCTTTGCTAGGGAGACTGGAGAAGATTGAAAAGCAGCAGAAAGCTCAATCAGGTACAAGAAAATTGCCTATAACTCTTAGTAACTCATTAAAACATGAATTAATCCACTGTAAAATCAATGATATTGTCATTCAAGGTTGGTGGTGGGTAAATAAAAGTGTTTAAGTTCTGAAATTTTGAGTTTAAGTTAAGGTTTTTAAGTTTTCCTCAATTTTAGATTTAGATGTAAATCTAAAAATTGAAGAAAACCTTAAAAATTCTTATTCATGATCCACCAGTTAAAACTAAATTCAAAAGGCAATTTATTTTGAAACTTGGCTATCTGAAACATTTTAGCATGCTTTAAAATTTGTAAGGAATATGCCAAGGGAATGGAGGAAAGGACAGTCATACTTTTTGCATCATGTAGTAAATATATGAACGAAGGCAAATATATGTTTCCCGTTGCAGAATCCAATTGTCAGCGTTCTAAGTAACTCACCCATTGAAAGCAGAACTCCAAGGAGGTAGATTGCTCAAAGAACATGTTTATTGGATACATCATATCGACACAGCAAGTGAAACCCAACTCTAAAAGTTTCCAGGGTTTTCACCTAATTAAGAGTCAAAATCGCCCCTCCCAGGTGTCACCTGTCACATTGTCCAATTAATATAGCTGGCAGGCTTCTCTCCTCCTTCAACAGCCACCTGCTATGATGACCTTGGTTCCCACATGAAAACTTTTTGTTTTGACCATTAGGTGGGCTATCTACTTCTCCCCTCCCTTCCCCCTCTCAGCTTTCATGGCAGCTATGAGGCAGCACAAGATGGCTTCAGCCAGGTTTGCTTCAGCATTAACACCAATCTGGATCAAACACCGGGACTAAAGGTTTAGACTTCCAAGCTTTTGGACTGGTGCTGGAGCCCATCCTAAATGATTTTTTTTCTCGCCAGAATTTTTCAGCATGAGTCTGAAAGCTCAGAAGACTAAACCTCTGGTGAGAGAGAACTAACAATGAAAGTCCAGTTTTCCTATGATGCAGATTATATGTACAGTAGATCCAATCTGAGTTGGTCACCAGGACCAGAGGTTTAGTTTTCCAGGCTGGAGTCTTCAGACTTGTGTTGGATCCCTTCCTCAGGGAACTTCTCTCTCACCAGAATGCTTCAGAATGAGAATGTTCTGGTGAGAGAAAAGTTTCCTGAGGATGGGCTCCAACACAAGTCAAAAGGCTACAGCTTGCAAGACTAAACCTCTGGTCCTGGTGACTGACACACATTGGATGTATTTATAACCCACATTGCAGGAAAACTGTAGTTTTATTGAGTATTCTTTTGAATAGAGGGAGGCAGTATTTAAACTGATTCATGAAACTGATTGAGTCAAGAAGACTCAAGATTTCATGACAGGCCAGTCCTTCAATAGGGTTTCTCCAAAACATTTGTCTGTTTCTTCTGCTTATTTCAGATTAAATCTCGATTCACTGGAGTTCCCATCTAGTTAGACACACATGTAATGTTAATGTGATCCCCCTCTTTACAAAAAAAAGAGCATAGAATGTCTTGTACATTTTTGAATCAATGCCTATTGAACTTTTTGCAAGACAGTGTAAAAAATGTTCTGTTGTCCAGTTGAATTAAAAATGGGAATAAATTGGCTAAATAATTCGACAGTATAAAATAAAATGGAAAGAGAGAAAGAATGAAAGAAATATCCAAAAGTGAAACAGTTCACAATTAAAACTAAATAAGGTATCTTTATGCATTCTTTACTGAAATCTGTAACTCAGTGTCTCTTAAAAAATCAATGCCACTTTTAGCAATGGCAACACGAGGACTTTATTTTTTTATTTTTTTGCAATGGCTATTCAAAGATTTTGAATTGCTCCAAAATAAAAAAGTAATTTTAAAACAGAAATTTCAGAGCAAATAAAATGGCAAAATTCCTTTATTATAGAATAAGCCCATGCTTATAGAGCTTATTTAAAATAGATCTTTTCTAAGAAGTTACTCTGTAGTCACCATTCTCATTCTTAGGACACCAAATTGCTCAATAACTTTTTTTGTACTATCTTATTTTATTCCCAACCATTTATTCATGGCAATTAACAGAATTGTTTTCCTTTGGACTAGATTTAATCAGAATATTATACAATTTTTCACCAAAGCTCATCTCTGGTTCTCTATTATCACTGTTCATATTGGTATGAATGATTATTCTATACTATCCACTTGTTATCTCAACTTTCATTGTTTCCAGATGACGAGAATGGATCTCTATACTAACATATTGTCTACTCCCTTCTATTAAATCAATGTCTTATAAGTTAATTAACTATGTGGTTTAATTGATAAATGTGCTACTAATTATATGATTTGTCCTTTGTTCTGTTTTTAATAATCCATAAATGTTGTGATAATGCCATGCAAGTGGAATTATATGGTAATTTGTATATTCCAGAAATCCAAAAGAAGCAAATAGAAGACAGTGTAGAGTTGATCCAAGAAGAATGCATATCAGAGAATGCTGACAACTCAACAGAAGAGCCTATTGAAGGAGGGCTGGATGGGGACGGAGAAGAAATGACAGACGGGATAGAGGAAGATTTTGATGATGATGGCAGTAATGAGCTGGTAAGGAATTACAAGTGTCCTGTGTACAGTAAAGAAAAGGGGAATCAGAATAACAAGAGGTGGCTATCATATTCCATCTTCCAATTTAATCTACAGTAACAGAGTGATTATAACCACTGTTAATAAACATTCTCTGAATATCCAGAATACATAAAGGCACTTTTTGTTGCTTTATAATCTCCATTTTAAGGTAATAGGAAATGAATTTTATACCTTTAATGCAACAATTCTTACCAGGATAGGGTTTTCAAGCATTATTCCAAAGGTTAAGTAAATAATTACTATTATCTTCCTTCAGAAAAGGTCACTGCTATGGATAATTCTTCTAAAACTTCTAACCTAACCCAGAAATTGCATCTCTGCTGAATAAATCAAATAAGTGCTTAAGTTTACTATAATGCCAATAAGTGAATAAATCAAATAAGTGCTTAAGTTTACTATAATTCCAATAAATACTTTGGGACAAATCAAACTAATTTTTAAATTCTGTGTGATATTAAAATGGCTTCCTTAGATGTAAGTTGAACCAAAGTAACCTTGTATCAGGTCTAGTTCACACTAAAATTTATTTTTAAACTAATATTATTCCATAGCAGAGGTTTTCACAAGTAACCATGAAAACATATTTTATATATTGTATGTGTCCTGCAAAATTAAAAGTGAGCAAACAGCCATTCAAATAATCAGGATTTCAGTAAGGTCAATAATATCTCTTGAACTGAAGAGCTAAGAGGAGTTAAGTTCTAAGATTCTTATTCCAAAACTAGCATAAAACACCCAGAGTCACAGGGAGTTGGTCAGCATATTAACTTAAAATATTATTATTAATGATAAATCTGAAAAATGTGGAAAATTAAATGCACATTTGTCACCTGATACCTATAATGTATACAATATACTCTCAAGATGTGTTGTCAAACTTGAAAATTAATTTAAAAAAAATAATGATGGAATAAATTTGGTGAAATATAAATTAAACTTTCTCTCAAAATATAAAATAACTTTCAAAATATATTCATTGCAGTCACATATTTCTTATGCAAAATGCTCAGAGGAATTCTGAGCCATCTGTCTATCTGCAACAAAAGAGGGGATGAGTATAGAGCTTCCCATAAAGTGCTTTTAAATAGAAGAAAGATTTGAAATTACAAATCATTGCATTCCTCTGCCACCTTCTCCTCCTACCCATGTTTTGTAGTTTGTTATCTGCAGCACCCGGGCACCCTGAATCATTCACAAAGCGCTGAGGTTTGATTTTATGCTATTTCCTATAGACCCTGCTTTGCCTCATTAAACTGTAGATTTGCCTCTATTCAAAATTTAGGTTCAGCCAAATCCAACACGCGTTGCCATCTTATTGATGGCCAAAGAAAGCCTGCAATGTAATCAGTATCTTTGGAATAAAGGGAAATTACATACAGAGATTTGGGAGTTGTGGGTGAGTGTATGTTTGAGAATAATGTGCTTAGTTTTACATCATAATTATTACTTCCAATCAAATGTCTGCATTTTTTCCCCTTCTCCAACAAAGTCGTTTTATGGAACTCTCCAAATTTGTAAACCTTTTCAATAAGAAAAGAAAGCAAGTTGGCCAAAAGGAAGTGATAAAGGGGTGATACTTTTCTACCACACTGACCTTGCCTTCTAAATAATGTATGGAGGTGCCAAAAGCAAGAGTGGAGCAATGAGAGGAATTAATAGTGTGAGCTGGACAAAGAACTAAACAGGGGAGCATCTCACACCTGTCCTAAGCAATCCTGTTTATTGATAATGTGATTTAGTGACACATCAACACTTGGTGGCAATAATTAAGGAGGCACCAAAATACAGAAGGAAATGGTGGAATCTGTTCCTTATTTGTGCATCTTAAATGTATAAGGCTGTCATAGGCAGAACTACAATTAGCTTTATGGAATAGCAGTCATATGGCTTCTGCTTCTGAATAAGGATAGGCTTATGTTCCTTTTCTCTTGTGAATTATTGCTGACAGCAAAAAACAGCACATAAAATAGTTCAGCAAGGTCATCTCTTACCTCCGTGAATAGCTGGAACCATTTTATAGCTATAGGAGAAGTAAAACACGAGTCATCAGATTTTGTAACCTATGATGTGCACTATGCCTATGCATTGTTAATGTGATTCTGAAAAAAGCAAAAAGATTCTCTTTAAAGAGTTTTTCAGGGGCAATTTGTTGCATGGAAAGGACAAAGATCAACTGAACAGATAAAAACAACTAGGCAAAGTGGTTTTGTCAAGATACTTTTTTCCAGGGGTGCAGAGTCAATCTGCTGCAATTGTGAAAGAACCTTTGGGAAGCATTCAAATTGCCCTGCAAAATATGAAGAGAGTATGGGGGAATGGATGTACCTTCTACTCCTATTTAGCTATCAATGACAGCATCTGCAGCAAGGGACTGCTGCTATTTGCATCACTTTCATTGTCTCCTACACCAATAGTGCCTTTTCTTTGTCCTGCACCCTCTTTGCTGACTTGTTAGAGAGAGGCGATATTTTATGGATAATACTATTTCAATGCTTGCAGTAACCTTAATAGCAAATTTAATATCCATCATATTTTCCCTCCTGAAAATAGTTTGAAAGCATTTCAATTCCATATTTTAGATAGAGCAAATTAAAGTGTAATGACATATCTGCTTGGGCATAGCTCTTCTGGATTGTGATGAAATTCACTTTCAATTAATGTGTTAAACTGACAGCTGCTGAAAGGGTTTATAGCTAGCTGGAATGTACTACAGATTATTTCCTGAAGATGCTGGATTAAATTTGAAATGAATGTAATGTTTGATTTAACATATAAAAATATGTAGGCTACTGTGATTTCAAATGTCCCTATGTTTTTGAAGTTAACCTTGAAGAAAACGTGTGGCCTTATTGTTTTTCTTTTATTTTGCAGCCATTCTGAATAAAAATATAAAGATATCTCCCTTCTCACTCCACTCTGTCTAGTACATAGACGTAAGCACACACAAAAATGCTGAAGGGAGAAAGATTAGAACTGATGCAATACTAATTCCACTCCCTAGAAAGGATGAAACAGGATGACATCCTCATTTCTCAGTACCCGATTTATTATTATTTTTTAAAGTGAGAAAGCTAGGCTTCTATGCTGCAGCAAAATATTGCTCTGCCTGAAAAGATTTCTGTTCTTAGACGTATAAAATAAGAGAGCTAACTCTATGAAATTAAGAAACAAAGCTGTAAAAAGGATTGTCATGCAAGTATTTAACCTTTTTTTAAAAAAAGAAGAAAGCTATGTTTCCTTAGATTTGTTTTCTTCCCATTATTTAATTTAAAAAAAATTCAATAAATGTACTCTCTGTCTCCAATACAAATCTCCACTGTACTTTTTTTTTAATAGAGGCACGTACTAATTCTCCCTATGAGTGGTGCGGTGACTTAGAGGTGGAGTTCTCGACTCACAATCAGGAGGCTATGAGTTTAATCCTAGGTAGAGGCAGATATTTCTCTCTCTGGGCACACTGAGAATATATCTGCTGAATAAAACTCTGCATTGGCAACAGGAAGGACATCCGGCCAATAAACACTCAGATCCCTTCAGTTGCCCAGACTGTACCTCTACAAGGGATTATGGGGTCATTAAAAGAGGATGATGATGGTATAATAAGGTTAATTTATTTCTCTGACTTTTTTCACTCCTGTTTCCATCCCTTCCTAAGGAATGTAGTGATAGTTCTAATGAAGTGTTAATACCACTTTATAATGCCTTGGTAAAGGCACATTCAGTTTTGGTCACCATGATATAAAAAAGATGTTGAGACTCTAGAAAGAGTACAGAGAAGAGCAACCAAGATGATTAGGGGACCGGAGATTAAAAGATATGAAGAATGGTTGTAGGAACTGGATACGTCCACTTCAATGAAAAGAAGGACTAGGGTACATGATAGCACTGTTCCAATATCTCAGGGGCTGCCACAAAGAAGAGGGAGCCAAGCTATTCTCCAAAGCACCAGAGGGCAGGACAAGAAGCAATGGGTGGAAACTAATCAAGGAGAGAAGCAACTTAGAACTAAGGAGAAATTTCCTGACAGTAGAACAATTAATCAGTGGAACAACTTGCCTCCAGAAGTTGTGAATGCTCCAACACTGAAAGTTTTTAAAAGATGTTGGATAACCATTTATCTGAAGTGTGTAGGGTTTCCTGCCTAAGCAGTGGGTTGGACTAGAAGACCTCCAAGGTCCAACTCTGTATTCTATGCTGTTCATAGCTAGACATCTTCCAGATGTATGTTAACTTTAACTGCCTACTACTGGCAGGAAAGTTGAGTCCCAACACATCTGGAAAATGCAGGTTGTTAAAAAATAAACAGCCATTTGGCCTTCAAAAAAGATTTGTTTTTAATATATAACTCTCAGATCTTCTGAAACCCTTGGATACTACAACAGATGTTTCAAAATTCAGTAGTCATAAGTATAATTTCAACAAGACACTTTGAGCTTCCTATTATCTAGCTACCCCAATAAAACTGTGTCATTATAGACACACATACTCCGTGTCAGTAACATATCAGAAGACATTTAGGAATAAGGCATATTCATGATGATAATAAAGCTCATATGCAAGTTCTTTTTCAAAAAGGTGCTTTTCAATGCACGGGAAACCTTACAAAGCACTTTTCGTTGAATCAGTAATTCAGCTGCACGTTTTTTCAAAAGTGCTATGGCTTATGTGAAAACAGCTGCCTCTTAGCTGCCTCTCATCTGTATATGTGCACCACCATTTAGGTTCAGTTTTCTTGCAAACAGAATCAGAAAATAGAGTTTGCGTGTGAACCAAGGAAAAGAAGTGACTGCTTTGTATGCTCTGTGCCTTCCTGAATATTGCAAAGCACCTTCCTTCAAAAGATTTGCACAGTCATAATAAGCTGCCAGCATATTGGATATCTCTGACCTCTACAGAGCACAGAGGTTTGGGGCAGGCTTTGATTGGAGTCACAAAGCATTTAAAGGTCAAATGTCAGATTCTTAACAGCCTTATATTAATATTTCAGATTGCATTATGCCCTGCAAAATTCAAGAAAGCATGGAAAAGTTCAAGGTTTCTGTAACAGAAGTTATTTCTTGGAAAATATTGGGAAATGTTTTAGTTAAACTAATTTGAACAATTTGGATTATATAATGTAATTCCTGGTCTCTAAAAACAGAGCTTTCTTCCATGGATGTTTTGCTGCTAATTATTAGCCTTCCTTTCGCCTAAGTTACCCCAAAATCATGCATTTCTCAAGCTTCTATCTTTCCCTGAGCAAAATAATGAAATGAAGCAAATGAAATGAAGCTGGATAAATTCTTCATGGAATTCAGGAGCTTGCCTTTGTGACTAGAGAGGGCAAGAATATATCTTAGGTAGCCAACATGAACACAACTTAGAAGGCAGTGCAATATTCAACTATAATAGTAGCACTTTCTATAGTGCTGCTTTATGTTTTTTTAAAAATGTCAACAAAACATTTTTAGGATTTTTAAAGTTATTCGTTGGAATGATATCAACAGAATATTATTAATACTGTAATAATGATTCTTATTAGGTGTGATTGTAGTCCTGTCTATCATGGATTTTCTTTTCAGAGGCTATTATGCCTGAGGATTAGTCACTGCAGATAATTGATACCTTAAACAAAATCATTTGACATTAGGATATTTTCAGTCAAAGTCACAATCATATTGAAATGATTAATGTAGATAAATGTAGACAGACAGACAGACAGAATGTAAAAGCATATCTTTTCCCATAATTGTATGGAAGGTGCAGAAAAAATGCAATTACCATACACTATTTTTAGAACTATAAAGGTTGAATGATTTTCTTTGTGTGTTGTTCTGAAAATCTATTCAACTGTGAACTAAATGAATTTGCCATCTATGTGTGGAACTATTGTTAGAATAATTCAAATTTATGGTTTGCTAGATAAATATCAATAGAATAAGTTTTTGACCACTTGGAAAGTGTTGTGGTGTCAGACTTTCTAAACATATGATATTTCTAATAAACTATAAACTATGTTAAAAAATTATGTTACAAAAAGTGAAAATCAGACTTTCTGTGCTTAATATAGCTAGCATTGTGTTCAACTAGATTACTGCTCCGTTCTGTATAAATGAACTGAGAAATGAATTTTCAATTCATTTACTTCAGCTCTCAATTACTCTGGAAAAAACTTCTTAGGCATGGTGCTAGACTTAATTGCTTTCTTGTCATGTTCAAATCCCCTCTATTTTTTTAATGAATATAGTAAACCTTTCTGTTGTAAAATCTTTCTGTTCTCATATGAATGCTTAAATTTTCACTCAAGAGTAGGTTTTCCTGGATAAAAAAAAATAGGGTACCTCATGTTTTGTATAAAAATTGCAAGCAAAATCCCAGGATTATCAAAAACTCCTAGTTAGGTTTCAGGGGCCAGCATTTTCAAGGGCCAGTAAAGTAATTCTTTCTTTACCAGAAAAGTTGGAGATTGGCATGCAGTGATGAAATCTATGGTAAGCATAAATCTAATAAAGTAGGTTTGTCCAATTTCAGTGCCTCCAGATGTGTTGAAGTGCTGCTTCTATATTTGTATCATTGATTTTGCTTGGAGTTTTAGTATGAATATATTAGAGACCTCTAGATTGAGAATGTTGGTAATAATGACATTATCAAATTACATTGCTAACTCTTTGGAAACTTCTAATATTAACTTCCTTTCCATTTCATTAAAATAAACCTGAGAATGTTGCAAATATCCTTATGTCCTTTCTGCTAGTTATTGAGATTGCTGGTGTCCATCTCAGTTCCTAAGCAACAGCAAAGCAGTTTTTTTTAAAAAAAATATAATTTACAATGCTCTTAATCAAAAGAAAGCATTTTAGTATTATAAGGAGCTAAGAATATATCTTCAGTAACGTCTGGCTTTTGACTTTTATATAATAGAAAAAGACAAGCAAGAAAACAAAGAAAAACAAAAAAAAATTCTGCAAGGTGAGCTTTTATTTTCAGAAGAGCAACAGAGCTATTCAACTATCTTCAGGGCTGCCTATGATGCAGGAGAGAAACTGGAGGAGAAAATAGACCTCTTCTAAGCTATTCTGTCAATTTGGTACTACAAATAATAGAAAGAGCTTGCATATAAGAGATTTCAAAGTGACCTCATTAATAGGAATTGTATAATTGTAGCTCTACAGCCTAGTTGATCTTTAAATATGTGGAAAATATTAATGTCTCTAATTTCATAACCCTACCACTATCCTTGAAAGATTACTTGATCAGTCTGTTCCATGATTTCACAGGAACCTAATTTCAGCACTTCATTTTGTTCTTCATATACCAGTAATACATTACTTTGAGAAGCAGAAAGTTTTTGTATAGCTGTCAAACTCAAAAGTACATCGGCATTAATAATTAATGGTCAAGTGTTTTTTACCCAAGTAATACATTAGTGCGATTGTGTGGTTGAACCAAATTAGGAAAATAGGTCATTTTTATTTACTTTTAACTTGGAACAAGAGTAAGAAAACTTCAAAATTACTTTTGCCTCATTAAGAACACTTGGTTATGTAGTCAGTGCTGAAGACAAGAGAATTATAGGTTCTTGCACGTCTCATCAATTCAGGTGAGTAAATTTGAATTGGAGAAAAGATTAATATTTATCATTCCACAAAACTGATCCAAATCAATTGCTTCCTATACAATAAAATTTCTCCTATTAATTACATATGCTATTATCTATTCTTCGAAATGTTTTCAAACACAACTATATTTTATGTTATAGTTTCTACAGATCAAATGAATTGGGACTCTTACACAACCTTTTTGGAAGCTGAGAAGATAATTCATAGACTTCCCTGTGTGAAAATGTAAACTACAGTTTCTTGTCAGCTCATAACATCTTTGACTCAATTTGTATGAAGAACTGAATTTACTTTTGGAAATGGAGAACGCCATTCAAAATTTTAAAACATGTTTAAAAATATGCGATTGTCAAATTTTTATGGTTTAGACTGTAAATGTGTTTCTCCTGGCTAATCATTGGTATTTTTTTTTAATTTTGATGTCAGATAGCCAATGACTTGTATAATATGAAGGACATATTTAAAGCAAAAGAAATACTGTATACAAATGTATATTTGTAAAAGCTATTTTTATGATTAGCATGTTTTATGTTCATATTTACAGTCAAGTGATATTGCACTTAAATGTTTACAGCATAATGATGAGATCATCAAAAACTTATGAGCCAATATATATTTTAATTATTTTTTATTCCTGCTTTAAGGCAAATACATTAGTGGCAAATACATTAGTGGTTTATAGAAAAGAACAAATCAATATTTGTCTTTGAAGATTTTCAGTGTATCACTACACTAAAATGGATATAATTTGGATATATTTTACAGTTTCCTGTGATATCTATAGAAAACTGTTATTAATGTCAACATCGCCCCCAATCTCTATGTTGCTACTCTTAGCTTCTGATAAGCACATTTTGGATAAACTAGATCAGTATGGTTCAAAAAAATTTATGAGTGTTGCCATGTTGTAAAGTTGACATGTTTGATGCCCATTTGCTTTCTATTCCATTGAATTATCTTTTTTTGTTTTTATATATACAATATATATACTGTATGCTCTTCATTCGGGTGACTGGACACTCTAGTTTTAACCTATTTTAGCCAGACAGGTAGATAGATGCATTGGTTTCTCTGGAGTTGAATTACAAAATGAGGGGAGTGCATCATACAGTATAGACCATATCACACACTATACAGCATACATATATACTGTATGTGGTAACTTACCATAGAAGCTTCATCTCTCTCTTCTCAATAACATACAAAAAGTGTTAATTAATGCTATAGTCCTGTTTTTTCAGTCTTGTTTAGAGAACGAGGCTTGAAATTGGATTATTTCTATTATCATAATTCATATTAAGGGTAGGATAAGAGTAGTTTGTCAACTAATAGGTCACCTTTAGCAAATGCAAGCACTTTTCTGAGGGCACAAAGGAATCATCACACCTTCAATCATGTCTACATTGATAGTTAAATAGAAGATGCATTTGATTATGGTAAGTGTTCACTGCGTTGGGATCTTTCTCCCAAACCTCTTCAAAGGCTGCAATGTATTGCTTAGTATTTTCACATATATTTCTTCAGTCTTCATTTTTGGAAATGCAGATTCCGTGAATTCATTGCTGCATCATTTTACAGATACAATTCATGAATTATCCAGATCTAGATATCAATTGTACAGTGCCTCAGTTGGGCATTATAGATTTCACAATACTTGAATGTGACCCTTACAATATCCATACATAAGGAGCCAGGCAGGAATATGCAGTGTGCTATCTGTAAAACATCTCTAAATGCAGCATTGTATCACCAGATTAAAGGCTGTGGGGAAAGAACAAGCCTGTTGCTCAGTTAAACCTGCAAATAAAATGTGAAGCTGCCATCTGCTAAATCTAACTAATAAGCTAAATCTAATTAATAAGCATTGGTTCAGTTGCCTGAGACTCAAGATGGAATTTTTTGTAGGCAGAACACATGTTTTACTTGAACAGATAGCTCCTTCACTCTGATCTTCTGTCTGTTGCATTATTACAATGTTTCCATAAAAGCTACCTATTTCTGTATAAATTATTTTTTTCTCAGTCCTTGCAGTGATTATAAAAGTACCAAGAGAAAGAAGATAATATGCAGGGTTTCTTTCTGTACCCCTTTGTCAAATATTCTTGCATGCAAGTCAAATCAATCTAGAAAAAGAGTTGGAATGTTAATTCTATTGTCCTAGGGATATGTTTCCCTCTTTTTAAAAACATATGCATTAAATTGTGTTGCATTTTGTGTTTAGAACACTTCTATGAAATGAGGGGGGGGATCTTAAGACCATGGAAAGTATTGTTACTTGAGAAGGAGTTTTTCAAAATATGAGGCAACACAAACAGCTGCTTTAATGAATTGCAGAAAGGAAATAGTTTCAAATTCCAGAACAATTCATTTGAATTAAATATAAAACATGGCATATCCATAAGGCAACTCTACAGCTATTTTTAAAAGCCATGGAGGTTTTAAATAATAGGACAGAATGTTTATTTGCATTCATCTTCTGAATATTTTGGTTTCGGTCAACATTCAACACAATTTTGTTTCAAATGCTGTAACATAAATTTTACATTCCTGTAAATAAATATTTTCCTCTGATTATTGGACTAATTCTCTTCAGCAGTTCCTCTGTAAAAATACTAGTGGAAATTATCAGGGGATTAAAAAAAATATACATATTATGTAAACTCAAAACTTTATTCCGAAGTAAACATCTTGTATTTCAATTGATCAGAATAGAGCTGGAAGGGACCTTGGAGATCTTCTAATCCAACCCCCTGCTCAAGCAGGAGACCCTATACCTGTGATGGCAAACCTATGGCACGCGTGCCACAGGTGGCACGCAGAGCCATTTGTGCCGGCACGCAAGCTGCAGGCAAACTTACCTCACTAAACATGTGCGTGCCTCACAACTGATTTTCAGTGGGTTTGAGGCCTTTTTCGGCCTCCCAAAAGCTTGAGGAAGGCTTCTGCAGGCTTTGCAGGCCGAAAACTAGCCCCGTTTCATCACTTCCTATTTTTCCGAAAATACCGGAAGTGATGAAACGGGGCTAGTTTTCAGCCTGCAAAGCCTGCAGAAGCCTTCCTCAAGCCTTTGGGAGGCCGAAATAGGCCTTAAACCGGCCAAAAGTCAGCTATGAGACACAGTGTAGGTAAGGGGGTGGCAGGGGGGTGGGGGTTGTGCACGCATGCGTGGGGGGCGTGCATTGCCTTCTGGGTGCTAGCACGCAAGCATGCAAGCACGCACACAATTTTTGGCACAGGAGCCCAAAAAGGTTAGCCACCACTGCCCTATAACCATTTCAGATAAGTGACTATCCAGTCTTTTCTTAAAAACCTCCAGTGATGAAGCCCCTAAAACTTCTGAAGGAAGCTGTTCCACTGTTAATTGTCCTCATTGCTAGGAAACTTTTCCTTATTTCCAGATTGCTTCTTTCCTTGCTTAGCTTCCATCCATTTTTTCTGAAACTGTTCAGGAGAAAATAATGCTAATTATCAAAATCAGTTGAAAAGTTATTGTAGATCTGTGCTAACATCTAAGTTATAAAGCAACTTTTCTGATAATCATTTATCATGATAGACCTTCAATTTCAGCAATATCAAAAGTAATTCATAGGCAGGACATCTCAATAGATCTTTCAAAAGGCTGTATTATTTCAGCAAGGTAAAAAATAGTCACAGCAGCAGCAATAAGATGATACTAAAATTGTCACTACTATAAACAATTAAAATTTCAAATAAGACTGACTTTTCATGTCATCTTAATACTACAAATTCTGGGAATGTGCTCTCTAAACAATACCATGTAACTGAAGTTAAGTGAAAACAGGTGTTTTGGAATACGAGACTGACATTCCATATAAAATATTCCTTTAAGCAGGATGGCAATTCTTGAAAATAATAGGGAAGAAAATGTCCAGGTTGCTATACTCAGAAAACTGAATATAAAAGGAAAAAATATATTGGTAACTGTCTTGAGAAAGCAAGAGTGAGTTTCCGGTTTGTCGGCTTCGCGAGCGGCAGGGATTTGCGAAGCTGCGCGATCCCTGCCGCGCTAGCCGTTTTTGGGGCTCCGACCCAGACGGGTACGGAGCTAGGCTGCCCTGCAGGGGCAGCTGAAGGTAGGGGGGATCCGGAGAAGGGTTTGGGGGTGTTGCAGACCCCCTCCCCGGCCGGCAGAACCCCCTTTTCCCAGGACGGTGCAGCGGCGGTCCGTAATGGCCGCCACAAAGAAGCTGGCAGCCGGGTAAGAATGCGCAGGAGGAAGTGGAGAAAGTGCTTGAGAGGAGAAAGTCTTTCTTGGTTCCTAGGACTCTAAGACATATTTAACAAAATTCCTGAAAAGTATGACTTTCTGAATGATACCTTCGAGAAGAGGAAAAAAGCGGCAGTTTAATGGTGCTGAAAGGATAGCTTACCCTCTTTTTTTACGGAATAAAAAGTGAACATTAAGAAACCTATTTTTTTTTAGGTGAAAACTGGCTCTAAGCGGTGAGTGGGAAAAGAGAGGACTAAAAAAAAATATTTGTATGCTAAGACCTTGTTGGAGGAGATGCCTTAAGGATTAAAAGACTAAAATATATTACAATAAGATTTTAAGAAACAGATTTGGACTTTCTTTTTCTTTAATTGATACTACCCCAGGAGGAGAGAGTGGGAACTCTGTCTTGGTTTGGACTGACTGAGAACTTTGGGATTGTCTTATTTTTCCTTTGGAATATTCTGGCTGTTGTAAGAGAAAAGAAAAGAAAAGATTTATAATGGCTTCTTCTATCGAGGAACTGAGAAAAGATTATGAGCAAGCAAAACAAAATGGTAAAGCTGGTTTGAAAGAAGCCTTTCTTTTTTTAGAAATGGCGCTTATTAATTATCAACAAACATTGCAACAGATGAAGACAGCAGAAGAAGAACAAAGAGAGGAAGCCATCTTTAATAAATCTCAGAACTCGACCAAGAGGGAAGGAAGAGGAAAAAGAAGAGAAATAAAGGACTTAAGATTTAAAAAAACATTTAAGAAAGGGAAAAACAAGGTGCAAAATCAATATAAGGATGGTAAACAAAAGGGAAGAGGAATACGACAGAGAAGAGAAGCCAGTAAGGCAGAGGCTAGAAGAAGGGGGGCTAGAAAGGTTTGTTGGGGGAAGAAAGAAAGGGAAAAGGTGGAGAAAAGCTACAAAGTTTTGAAATCAAATGAGAAAAAAGAAATTTTTTTTAGGGATAAAGGATAAGTATAATTTCTTCAAAGAGATTTTGCAAGGTACATAAGATGATATTGTAGTATTGTATCAGAAATAGAAAATTTAAATGGCTTGAGAGTTGATAAGAGATTAAAATGTTGGAATGTTAATAATGATTGGTTTGAAAATATAATATGAGGGGAGATTTAGAATATTAAACTTTAATTAAAGAGTTTATTAAGATTATGGTATTGATGTTATTATAAAACTTTCATTATAGTATTTTGTTTTTAATATTTAAATCTATTGCTTAACTATGTATTTAATTGTTTTAGATGTATTATTCAGTTAGAATGTACCAAGCAAAATCGGATTGGTTAGTTTAAAGATTAATTTGATTAATTTAGTGGGGAGATAGAAAGGCATCA